CAGTGAAGTTTGGGAACTTTTTGTTATGGTAAGAGATAACATGAAGTAAGGCAGTTCAGTGTTAATTAGGTATATGCAGAAGGTATTTGTAAAAATCTATATATGTATGGTTATGTACCTTAAAGGCAGTAGTATAGTTAATCCTTTCATTGATAGGTAACTTTGAAATGTTTACCATTTGTTGCCTAGCAATGCTGATTCTGAAGTTTAGGGCATGTGATTCTGAAGTTTATGAATACTTTGGGATTTTCTATCAAATTGGGTTTTTTCTTCTTTTCTTAGAGATTTTGAGGTTTTTTTAGAGGTTATTCTAAGAGTTACCGTTTTTGCCCCTGAAGATGGAAACCTTTGTCTGTCTTTCTTTTGCACTAAACCAAGTTTTATTTATATTTAGAAATTCAGTCAAAGGAACCAAGGACTGACTTAAGAGTCACTCACACTTTAACACAGAAAGCTTTCCTGCCTTGTGGTCATCATTACTCCAGTTTTCTTGTACCATTATCTAAGTATTTTATGTCAGCATAGTAATGGATTTTTGGGCTGAGTTTTCAATTTTCACTGAATCTTTAATCTGCAAAATCAGATACCATAGAGAAAATGTGGAAGAGACATGGGCTGTGGAAGTTGAAAAATTAGTCAAGTCATTTCTGTCTCTGTACTTATTAGTCTCTTAAATATTCTATTAGTTATAAAATGAGAGTAACTTTCTAGAGGGTTTATGTGTGTGCAGGTGCACATGTATTAAATGAGATTAAACACCGGAAGCATCTAAAACAGTCTGGCATACAGCAGGAACATAATAAATGCTTGTCTTCTATTTTGGCTTAAGCCAGTGATCATTTTTTGCATTTTCAAGAAGTTACACCAGTGTTAAATATGCTGTAGTCTTAAACAGATTAAAAACAGACCCAGCATTACGTAGGATGAACGGCGGGGGGTGGGGTGGGGAGACGGAATTTCTGTGAAACACTCTGATCCTTACTTTGTATTGAAATTACTGATGCCTTCTTCTCCCTGAAGTGCATAGTACTGGATTTTGCACGTAGTAGGTACTTAAGGATGTCATCACTCAGTAAAGATTACATCGAGGAAGGAATCTGAAGGCCTGTAGATAGTCTTGGTTTGTTTGCTTATTGATTTTTGTGGTGTTTGCAAGCCATTGAATCTCTTTGAACATTGTGTCTTGCTCTTCTTGGTCCAGCAGTGTGAACAGGTTGCAACCACCTCCTTATACTGTAGTAGATAAGAAATCCATACAAGGAAGACCTCAGAGCTCAGAAAAGGAATTCTAGAAATGATAGTGGGTTAGATCCACCTTGGATCCAAAATCGCTAGTCAAGGAGGAGAGAACCACATGCAGGACGTTTTTAGTTGAGGATCAGGGTGTATCAGACCAGAAGTTTGGTAAATAAGAAGGTGCAGACCTTGAAAGAAGACCAGGGTCTTAATCACAACAGAAATAATAGCAACAAAAACATATAATTGTAGGAAATGAAGGTGCAAATTTTCAAAGACAGGAAAAGCACAGCTGGAAGATGCCAATAACAAAGGGGAAAATTTGACAAATGAGGTGGCTTCTCTACCATAAACTTAGAATTTTTCTCATAGCTCACCTCTTTCGATCTCAGTCCTGTTTCTTGCTAACTTAGTTAAGAAAATAAATTTACTTTTTCTCGTTCCCACTCTGCCTTCTTCCCCACCCTCATCCTTTTCTCTTTGTTTCATTTTTCAGTCAAAATTCATGAGATGATGAACCATGCACCTGAATTATTTTATTAGGATATTTAGCTGACATTATTGTGAAAGATGAACAAAATACTAAGTGAGAACAAAGTCTTAGGACTTCCCTGGCGACGCAGTGGTTTAGAATCTGCCTGCCAATGCAGGGGACACGGGTTCGAGCCCTGGTCCGGGAAGATCCCACATGCCACAGAGCAACTAAGCCCGTGTGCCACAACTACTGAGCCTGTGCTCTAGAGCCCATGAGCCTCAACTGCTGAGCCCTTGTGCTACGACTACTGAAGCCCATGTGCCTACAGCCTGTGCTCCACAACAAGAGAAGCCACCGCAATGAGGAGCCCACACAACACAATGAAGAGTAGCCCCCGCTCGCTGCAACTAGAGAAAGCCTGCGCACAGCAGCGAGGACCCAACACAGCCAAAGATAGATAGATAGATAGATAGATAGATAGATAGATTAATTAATTAATTTAAAAAGTTTTAGACGTTGCTTCTCTTCATAAAATACTCAGTATTCTTATAATGCTCTCTAGCAGTGAACTATCAGTGTAACAGACCACACCAAAAGTTAGTGGCATACCAAAATATTGTCATTGTGTTCAGATTGGTTGGTTGGGGTGGCTCTTCTCACATGCCCCATTTTTCTGGGGCAACAAGTGGGCTACCCAGCTTATGTTCTTCTTGAGGAAGTTGCAGAAGTTCAATAGGGCAAGCCCAACCATGCAAGCACATTTCATGTCTGCTTGTGTACTGTTTGCTAATATGCCATTGATGAAAGCTTGTCACGTGGCCAAGCCTATCATCAATACAACAAGGAAATATATCGTGTTTCTAGTGAGAGGAGGTGAGAAGTGGCAAAGGGTGTGAGTACAGAGATGGGAGAAGAATTGGGAGTCTAATGCAATGCAGCAGGCTCTGTAAACTTTTCTGGGTTTTACATTCTTTTTTACATCTTACCTTGTACTTATTAACATACACACAAAATTTTGTATTTTACCACTTTAGCTTAATATGATTTTGTAAAGATTAACTGCTATATAGATTATATATTTGCTATTTAAAAACATACAGTTGTTTGCTTAAATCAAACTGTATGAACTTCTAGGTTCATTTATATCAAAATCATTTGAGATGCTTCCTAAAATTACAGATCCCCTAACAGATCCCCTAGCAGATCCAGATGGCCCTGGAATCACAATTTCTGGGTGTGGCGCCTAGGAATCTTCTTTATTGACAAATTTATCAAGGCATTCTTTTGCACATTACAGTTTAGAACCTCTTCCTTAGTGGAAGGACATTTGCACTGTTTCCATTTTTCCAGCATTATAAATAATAGCGAGCATCATTTGTACACATGACTGATTTCTTTGGGGTATTCAATAGTCTTTTCCTGATACACGATTGAATAATTGCAGTTGAGGAAAATTATATTCTGTGTAAAGAATGGAGTTTGGAGGGCTGGTAGGGGTGATTACAAACAAGCTTGTAAAATCTTTGAAATATTTTACGTTCACTAAAATAAGACATTGCAATTAGATAAGGAGAATTTCTATAAAATTTGTATATATCTTTAATTTGTAATGTTGCGTATTGTGTAAGTTAGTCGTGGTTCTGTTGCTAGCTGTTAGTAATTTTTAAAATGAAAGTGGAAAAGTTTACAGGTCTAAAGAGAATTTTATTTTTCTCATGTTTCAGCACTGTGAATTTGGCAGTTCAGTTCTTTTATTCAACTATTTTGATTCTTTTTGGCATTTTGGCATTTGATTCTTTTGGCATTTATATGACCTTTGTTTATATACTTTATTATGTAATTTATTTTTAGTTTCAGTTATCTCAGCTTTTAATAAGATGTTTATGGAAATTAAAATTCATTGATGGCATGGCAGATACTGCCAATGCCTGTTCAGTACATTCTTTTCTTTTTCCTTAGCAACAGATTTGCAGAAAAGCTTTTTGTCTAGCTGAAAAATACATTTCCCAACCTCCTTTGCAAGTATGAGTGGGCACATGACGTAACTTTGTTCTGCTCAGTGAGGCCTTAAAGTGGAAATCACTAGATAGGGCTTATTAAAGAACGCAGAGTTATTTAGCAGACACCCTTTGTCCTTTGCCCTTTATCCTACCTAGAACTTGGACAGGATGCTAGAGGAGGAAACACTGAGTGACATTTAGTGAATGTCACATACAAATGTTTAGTGGGAAGACAAGATTTCAGCAGATCCTTTTATTCAAGTGGTGACTTGTTTTCCATGTCATATCCATTGAGCTTTCTTTATTTCATGGTGCCATCTTACAGTTTTGGGGAACTTGTTTTAAGAAATGCAGAGATGAGGCTTCCCTGGTGGTGCAGTGGTTGAGAGTCCGCCTGCCGATGCAGGGGACACGGTTCGTGCCCCAGTCCGGAGATCCCACATGACGCGGAGCAGCTAGGTGCGTGAGCCATGGCCGCTGAGCCTGTGTGTCCGGAGCCTGTGCTCCGCAACGGGAGAGGCCACAACAGTGAGAGGCCCGCGTACCGCAAAAAAAAAAAAAAAGAAAAAGAAATGCAGAGATGTAGGGAGGAGCATCATTCTTAATTAGGGAAGTTTAGGGAAGGGTTTTGGTAGTAGAATCTTATCCTACCTCTTTTTCTCTCCAGTAGAGTATAGTCGATTATATAGATCAATAGAGTATAAACAGATTTAAAGCAAATGGGGGCAAGTGATCAATTTTACTTCGGATCTTTTATGACAGATTGGAAAATGAGATGATCCTTTTTTTCCTTGAATAGGGTAGAATCCCCATGGTGTAATATATCCACCTAGTGTTTGGCCTGCCAAAGGCATGTTTTTTCCAAACATCCTAGGTGCCTCAATGCTGGTTGACTTAAGGTAGAGGGAGCGATTAATAGGGCTGCCTGGATTTCATTCTGTGGTCTCATCCCCTAGTTAAAGTAGCCCAATGAATACCTGTTTTCCTTAGTTCTTCTTAAGTTTAGCCATCAGGCAGATCACTCCTTTTCTTGTTGGGAGGCATAAATTAGGCAGTGAAGAATGGGCTTTTAGAAACATGAGAATGGAATAAGGGCTACCACAGTATGGTTCATTCTTCCTAAAAGAATGAAATTTATTCAGTCTTTGTCAAGTTCTATTGTTTTTTTGTTTTTCACTCTAGTTTATTTTGTGTTTTCTGTTTTTTTTCCCAAAGGTCATTTATTTTCTTGTCCTTGTATATTTTCAGATTTCATAGATTTAACACTTTTGGTTTTTCCCTTCCTCTAGCACCAGCAGACGTTTTTGAACCAGCTGAGAGAAATTACTGGGATTAATGATGCCCAGATACTACAGCAAGCCTTGAAGGTATGGCCTCTGTTTTGCGACATACAGTTTCTAGTACACCCTCGTCTCCACTGCCTACCATATTTGAAACTTGAGTTTTTAAATTATACCATGGGTAGTAGTAGAGATATAGGAAAGAACTTTTATAAAGTAAGAACCTTACTTAACATAACATACTGCAACTTCAAGCATGTTAGCTTTTAGCAGCCTAATGTTCCAAGATACCTTGGAGTGAAAGAAGACCTCTCCATGTGAAACACTTTTCATGCAAAAAGGTGGGAAGTGAATCCAAGTGCTAATGGCTGGTTTTACTCAAGAGACATGATTTTAGAGTTTAATTGGGGGTGGGGGGTAGGGTGGGGTAGAGGAGGAGGAGGAAGAGGAGGTGGGAGAAAACTAATAGAGTATCAGAAGTTAACATATTTTTCTTCCAAGAAGGAGAAATATAAATTGGCTAACATTCAATTAATTGCACCTTAAGAACATTCAACATCAAACTGTTCTATTATGCACCAAATGAAGGGCCTGATTTTTGTTATATTTTACAAAGTATGCTCATTTCCACACAGTGGCATCCAGATGAGTCAAATCACATGGATATGCACATTGACAGAGAGCAAGTGAATGAAAGATGTTCAAGAACTAGAACTGCATTTTAAGTTTATTTATAGATTGCTGCCAAAGGCTAACAGCAGTACAGCATTTTTGCTACTATAGGCATACACATAGCTTCAGTCCTTTGCAAGTTGCTCTGAGAGACAACATTAATTATATCATTTTTGATTTTGTGCCAAAAGTTCATTTGTTTCTAGAAATAATTTATCTTTTGGATGATTGTAATCATAACTGTAGTGATAATAACTAGCACTTATTAAGCACTTACAGTGCTATTCTAAGTACTTTATGTGGCTAACTCATCCTCCTAATAACTATGACGTAGGTATTATTTTTATCCCCTTTATAAAAGATAAGGAAACAGAGAAGTTAAAGTGACTTGCTGAAGATCACATAGTATGTGGAGGAGCTTGGAATAGAAACCAAGCAGCCTGATCCCAGTGCCACACATAATTTCTCCTTTCACTGGAAGCTTTTTTTTTTTTTTTTTTTTTTTTTTTTTGCGGTATGCGGGCCTCTCACTGTTGTGACCTCTCCTGTTGCGGCGGACATGCAGGCTCAATGGCCATGGCTCATGGGCCCAGCCGCTCCGCGGCATGTGGGATCTTCCTGGACCGGGGCACAAACCCGTGTCCCCTGCATCGGCAGGTGGACTCTCAACCACTGTGCCACCAGGGAAGCCCTTACTGGAAGGTTTGCTTCAGCTGTTTTCCCCAATCAGGAAAACGATGAAACAGTACTGTTAGGAGCATTTTAATGCATGGTTATGAAGCCACTGTAAGTATTTGGAGAGGAAGCAAAAGTGTTGTGCCTCAATTTTTATGATTATGACATTTAGATGATTGCCAGTCCTTTCTTTATTCTGCTAAATATGAATAAATCATTCCATGTCTATTTTCAGAAATTGCCTTTCCCGTTCTGTTATCACTGAGTGTGGGGCTACACCCATTACTTTGTCAGGGCAAATTTGGGGAATTCACTTATTTATTTATTTTTTTTAACTTGGGAAACATGTAGTATATGCTAAATTAAGTAAACGTAAATAATTAAATTATTGTCCACATTTCCTTTGAGGTAGGTTGTGTGACCATGGTTTTTTTTTTGTTTTGTTTTTTTTTAAACTTTTGTTTCAGTTATCAGTATCTGGGGAGGAAAACAGTGTACTTAAACCTTAATTGTTGCTCAGTATAAATTTGTAAGATGTTTAATAATGAGTTGACTCTCTCAATAATATACTGACAAGGAGTCTACTTTTGGGAGCCACAATGTCATTGATCGATTTTAGCACTTTTACTGTATTTTATTTTGAGAATTTATTTATACCTCCAAAGTGAGTGTAGATCCCTGCTGCATTCAGTTTATTATTATTGTATGAGAGAGTATATGGAAAGCCCTTAGCACATTTCTTGGCACATAGTCAGTGTTCAATAAATATTAGCCATTGTTATTACAATTATTTTACGACTAGTTTACTTATCTAACTATAGACTATGCTAAACCCATATTTTGGATGATTCATTTAAGAATCTTATAACGGTTGTGACAGATAAAGTTTAAAACAGTGGTGCTTTTCAGACTGCACTCTTACTTTTTTCTCTTCTCAAAGGCTGCTAGAATTGGAGTTAGGATGGGTTGGAGACTTCATTCTTCCAGTTGCTCAGGCCTCAAATCTTGGAATCATCCTGTTCTTTCTCCTTTTATCCCTCCCCACATTTAATATGATAGCAAATAATGTTGGACTCTCTGCTTGTACCCATTCTCTCCTATAGTCTATTCCCAGCATACAGCCAGAGTAATCCTTTTAAAATGTAAGTCATACCATGTCATTTCTGTCCAGAACCTTCCACTGGCTTCCTATTATGCTTCGTGTGTATGCTAAACTTCTAAAGGCCTACGTAGTATTATGGGTTATGGCCTTCTGTTACAAAGATAACTTCATTACTAATATCTGGATTTCATAATGTGGTTTCAGTTAGCTGTCATAGAGCTAGTGTTATATTTATTGTTAACTGTGGAGAGAATATAGAGATAAGTGGGCAAGTCTCTTCTCATTTTGCTATTTCAAAAATTCTTAGTTTTTTAGCATCTGTTTTCTTCTAAATTAACTTTAGAATAATTTTGTCCAGGTATACTTTTCCTTTTTTTTTTTTTAACATCTTTATTGGAGTATAATTGCTTTACAATGATGTGTTAGTTTCTGCTTTATAACAAGTGTCCAGGTATACTTTTCCTTTTTTTTTTTTTAACATCTTTATTGGAGTATAATTGCTTTACAATGATGTGTTAGTTTCTGCTTTATAACAAGTGTCCAGGTATACTTTTGATGAGAACTACATACAATTTATATATTTAATTTGGGTAGGATTTTCATCTTGATAGTATTGAGTATTTCTAGGAGTTCTGTGTGTCTCTCTATCAAGCTTCAGACCATTTTGCTGTTTTCTTCTTATGAGTCTTTGATATTTGCTTGTTAGTTTGCCTCTAGGTAGGCATTCAGCATACATACTAAAGGGAATATCTTTTATTGTCCTTGTTTGCTGAAGTACTATTTTAAATATTTATTTTTCACCCTTTTATGTGGTCAGTTCCAGAAAACATTTTTTAGTTTGTTCATTTGTTTAGGAGTGTAAGTTATGATTGGATAATTAGTTATAGAATTGACTTTTACATTATATTAGTAGTTTTAATTAATAGAAAAAGGAATTACTATTTATATAGTCTACTTTGTTTACAGTGAATTTATACTGTAAAATGAAGAATCACATAGAATAATTTTAAATCTGAAAATGATTTTTACTATTAGTATTAGTTGTTATGGAGAAAATTACATAATCATATGAGAACGTATAGAGTCATTCCAAAATATTTGATGTTCCGTTCTTGATATTTGAAGGATAGTAACGGAAACTTGGAACTAGCAGTGGCTTTCCTTACTGCGAAGAATGCCAAGACCCCTCAGCAGGAGGAGACAACTTACTACCAAACAGCGCTACCTGGCAATGATAGATACATCAGTGTGGGAAGCCAAGCAGATACGAGTAAGTTTACTTCTCTTTCTTAATATTTTAATTAGAATGTAATGAAAAATTTTTCTTGGAGCTGTGTTTTGTTTAAACAGAGGTGAAGAACAAACAAGGAACAACTTCAGCTTTGGTTCTTTTTGGTGTAGTGGAAAGGCACATATGTTTTTATTAGCTGCTATATTTGTTTTCAGTTTAGGAGTAAAAGATTATATTTAAGTTTTTTATCCTTTTATAAAACATTTCATATTGTATTCATTGTTTTGAAATATGGAACATCTAAAGGTCTTACTCATTAAAGAAACAAAAGTTTCTGGAATTTTAAATGGGGTACAGTCATTTGTTTTATTGATGTTAAGTGTTGGTAGAGATCTTAGTATTATTTTTGAAGATAAAGTATTGTTTCTAATTACTGATAGATTTACTGTTTAACAGAATTTTCCTTCCCTTAACTCCAACCCCTCTCCAGAATAAAGATCTTGGAAAAAGGCTTACTACAACATAACAAAATAAATAAATACACATATACACATACATGCATATGGAAAATTTTACACGGGACTCTAATTTTTCTTAATAATGTGAATAATTTATGCTTATATAGTTGAGTTTTGAAAAATATGTTCATTTATCTCTATCTCGTTATGGTGTAATAACTGCATTATATAAAATGTAGGTATTTCTGTGCATTCTGGATTTGAGAAGTTTGATTACTAACTTGTACTTAAAGAGAATTTTTGATTTTGTTTTATAGACTTTCTCAAAGTTAGGAAACAACCAGGAAGATCCCATTCACATAGATGTTTATAGCTATTGATTGACATTAAATGCTGTTTAATGTTCATTGATAAAGTATTTTAATTTCAAAATTTCAAGGTAATCTTAGTGTTTTTGCTCCAAAAATGGTCTTATGTCAGCCAAAGCTAGGATACTCCTATCTCACACATGTAATAGGTGACGGGAGAAGTTTTATGTATGTAAGACAGACTCAGTTGCTGTGTCCAAGTTCAAGACAAAGTGTGGTTTGGCCCCTATCTACATCTCTACCTTCATTTTCTACTGTTTTCCTCCTCTCACTTTACACTGTGATAATGCAGAATAGATCAGAAGTTCTCATTCACCCAGGGCTATTTAATTTCTTCTGTCTTTACACTTGTTGTTCCTTCTGTCTGGAATCCCCTCCAGCCTTTATCCCTAGCCTAATTTCTTTTGATGTTATAAGACTTAGCTTAAGAGCTGCTGGCTCTAGAATGTTTCCTTTAGCCCCTAGACTGAACCAAGGGCTTTTCTGACACCCAGAGCATACTTCTGTCTTAACGAGTACTGTGCTATTTTGAAATTATTTGCTGTGCCTTTCTTGCTTACCAAATTAAACTAAACTTAAAAGAGACCATTGGTAGTCCCACCATTATAATAGGATGTTATTGTTTCTCAAAAAGTGTTTGTTGAGTTGTTTTTGATAATATGTGTAAAAAAGCTGTTTTGAAACCAATGAAAGTTCTCTTGAACAGGGTTGAGAAGCTTGTTATAAGAAGTTGGAAAAAAGAGAAGTGATATAAATAGAGGAGGACTTAGTATGTGAGAATAACATATCTTTCAAGGTTCTGAGACTTGGGAGGAAAATGAAATTAGGTAGAAAAAGGAAAAAAAGAAAGATTTTGACTGAAGACAGCTGGTTAAAATGAAGGAGACAAAGCTGAGTGAACATGGTTCAGTGTTCTAGTTGAAAGGATGGAAAGATTTTAGAATGATAGCTGTGAACTCAATGTAGATGGTAGACTTTGAGACGTGGGACAGCATATATAGATTTGCAGGGGAGAATTAGGATTATAAGACTGTCATTAAAGATGATGTCTTATTTGCTGTGTGCAAATTAGAAACTATTGTTTAAGTCACATGTTAACACCTGTTCAAGACTTTTGACAAGGAATAGTGAAAATGTTATGGACAAAAAGAGAGATTTGAATAGGTGCTCTTAGGGAGGAAGCAGCCTTTTTTCAGAAAGCATGTGTCCCATTTGTTGATAATTGAAAAATAATTTTTGTGTGTATGTGTGTAGCTCTCGGAAAATATGCACTAAGTACTTTCATATTCCACTTGAAAGAAATGGTAGAGAGATGGAGTTTCTGGTTTCATCTTACTGATTATCTTATTGAGCAAATTGCTCGTTGTTGTGGTTTCTTTATTGATAAAATGAGCTGTCCTTCTAACCAGGATGCTAATTCATATTTAATAATTGAATAATTTGGATAGTGCGTTCATAAAGTTGGTTTGAGATTATTGAGAAAAAAACTTGTAGAAATATAGTGGGGTGATTGTATTATAATAGTATTAGTATTAAACAGAAAAATATAGCTGATGAGGTGACAATAGTTCTTTTCTATTTAACAGATTTGTACCATCTTTCATAAAGTTCTAAGAAGTACAGCTGCCTTTAGGAAATAGTCTTTGTTCAGCATTTAAATTTAGTAGTGTCATAATAATACTACAAGTGTTACGACACTTGTATAATACCAAGTGTTACAGGGCTTAAAACTGAGAAAGTAAGTAGATGTCATGCATTCAGCAGATTCTTTAAATTACTATGCTGTAATTGCTGAGTAGAAATGAAATCTTTGTGTTTTTTTTTTTTTTTTTTTTTTTTTTTTGCGGTATGTGGGCCTCTCACTGTTGTGGCCTCTCCCATTGCGGAGCCGGACGCGCAGGCTCAGCGGCCATGGCTCATGGGCCCAGCCGCTCCACGGCATGTGGGATCTTCCCGGACCGGGGCACGAACCCATGTCCCCTGCATCGGCAGGCGGACTCTCCACCACTGCGCCACCAGGGAAGCCCCTCTGTGTATTTTTAACTCTTGGATGGGGTGGTAAAACGTGGGAAGGATAGAAAATAATTATAAATGAATATATATGTTCAAACGCAGGCCTCTTGGGGAAAACTGTAAGTGCTGAAGGAGTGTGGAGTATTAGAGTGATCAGAGTGTGAGGAAGTTTTCAAGGGATTATTCTAGATATAAAACCCTTTTTGAGCATTTTCTCAATTTTATGTGAAATGCATTGTTACTTGAAAATTGACCATAGTCGAACTTAATTCTTGCAAATATGGTAAGGGTTTTTATTTTTTCAATTTCTTCTTTTCTTTTTTTTTTTTAAGTATAAAGTCTGTTACAACCGGGCTAAAGCATAAACAAAGCCTTGCTAACTTTAAGTGTGTCATCTGTTGGTTGTAGTGCTGACAAAACATCTATATTTTGAGATAAAAGTCTCTAATGCTAAATATATAATGGTTCTTTATTGTTATAAGCTAGAATATAGCTTATAACTGAAGGTCTCTTTTAGAAGATCTAAAATACATGTTTTTTTGATGACTAGAAAAATTTAGCTTTCAATCTAATATCCCATAGAAGCCACTTTTGGGGTTGCTGGGAAATTTTCATATACCCAAGTATATCAGAAGAGAAAGCAAATTATGTCACTTGATTAGGAGAACACATATTTGTGAACTTTAATAGTAGAGGAGTAATTACATTTTCAATTGTTGGCCTTCTCAGTGTATTTTTACCTTTCATTTTTGAGAGAAAAAGGAAACATTTCAAGGAAAGCTTGTACTCTGCATAATAAGGAATTAAGAAGTATTGCTTTGGTAACATTCCATACTGTAATATAACACTCTGTTGAATTCTGGGAAAAGACCCAAACCATTTTCTCGTACTGTTAGCAAGAATTTGAGGCACCTTTTTAAATTACTTACATCTCCTGTCTAGATTGGATATTGTGAATTGTAAAATGAGTGCCTCCTACCCTTCGCTTAAATGAGAAATAAAATTACTGTGTTAGGAGTTTTGAAGTTAAAAATGCAAAGGGAACTAGGAAACAATGCAAGATATAGAGATATCATAGGTGTATTTAATAACCAGAGAAGAGATTGTGTGAAGTCTTTGTGTCATGGCAAACTCTGTCATAGACATGACCATATAAGACTTTTGCCCAATTTGAAATCAAATAGTAATATTCTTTCTTTCATGATCATTAAATTCTTTTGAACTTTTTTAAAACGGGAAAAAAAATGGTATATACCCGCCAGAACGAGATGTGCTACAATTGAGCAATCAAAGTATGGATCAAAAGATAAGAGGGATTTGGGTAGGTAATTTTAACACAGAAAATAATGCCGCATATTGGCTTAAGTTTTAGAGAAACTAGTATAACACATTGGAGTGAGTGTTAAGTGGTAGACTCTTCACAGATTTAGAATCACTGTATTTTTTTTTTTTTAAGACACACTATATATTTTTTTTTTATCCTCCAAAAGAACTTGAATTATTTGGTAAGGATTGCATAGAAAGTGAGAAAAATGTCGAAGTTCTGTCCTAGAACTCTAATCTTGCTTATATTGCTTGGCTAGCCTAAAAGTGATTTAAAGCACAAATGATAAATAGATCCCAGTCTAGTGCTCTCACCCCTGCTGAGGGCCAATCACTTATGTTAAGCAGTTTAGGATTTTATTAATTGAATACTGATATTTTTCCCATTCACCAAATTTGTTAAACAAGCATCTACAGATAGAAAAAAAAAATTAGTGAAATGGAAGTTAAATCTCTTTCTGTAGAGATTTCTAATGCATAAAACTATTTTGATGATTCATCAAAAGTCAATGTTAAGCTTAAAAGTGAGATGCTACAATGGTATGAAAATTATTTGTAACTGATTGGATGCAATTAGACTTACATTCTATATTAGACATACACTGTAGAATTACTTGTATAACTTTATGAATTTTCTTTAACTTTAGGACAGAATGGTAGCCATGGGCCTTTGCACTTTTTGTTGACTAATATAGAATGTTAACTTTTAATTTTTTCCAAGTTGGAAAACACAGTAAAACAGATGACAAAAATCAAGAATGGCTCCTTTATTATTACTTTCCTTACTTAGTAATGCTGCCATTATAAATTTAGCAGCTATTATTAAAAACAGAGCAAGACCATTTAGAGCTGAGCTGTTCAATACAGTTGCCAATAG